CCAATTTTTGAATATGAAGATTTGCATCATGTACATGTGAAACGCCAACCTCCTGATAACCATCATCTGATAAATTTCCCTGTTATAGCCGGTGAAGGTTTACATAATTTAAATCACCGTTTAACGTGTTCACTAGGTTATTTTGCAAAAACAGAAGATGAAAATCAAGGTTTCTTTATAACCTCAGGACGTTGTTATCGGTATAACCAACCTTATCATCTTCTACCGTGGAATTCACAAAACGTGCAGAATAATATTGGAATAATGACAAGAAAGGGAAATGTTAATAGAAGAATCGATTTTGGTGTCCTTGAAATAGGCAATCTCAACCCAGAGGCGTCTATAAGGAATACTGATTCTATATATAATGCACAACTTTTAATACTTAATGAATTATCTATAAATGCCGTTGGTGCTCATTTATGTAAATCTGGCTACGGCACACATATTACTTGCGGTTACATAAGATCACTTAATGCGATGTTTTTTGATGCAATTGACGGTTATAAAGATTTATATGTTATACGAATTACAAGTGATAATAGAGATGTTGGAGGACCCGTATTTTCTTATTATGATTCTAATGATGATGACGATGACCCTGCAGAAATTTTTAATGTAGGTGTAAATGGTATACTCACTGGAGCTATAGGAAATCATGCCTTTATGACGCAATATGGAGACATTAAAGAAGAGAGTGATTTATTTCTTGTTAATGCCGCAGGTGAACTAGTTTAAATTATCATCTGCCTTATGATTAAGTGTTGTGATCCGTGATCCAAACATCAATTTTTTTCAATGCTTTAATTTTTTTTTTTTATTAATTCACTTGAATGTAATTTTGTCTGGTGTGATTTATTTTGATGGCGCTATTCAAAGTTGAATATGATTAGAAATTAGATCTTTTATAAGCTTAAAATATCGGATTCAGATAAGAGCTTACGTAAAATTGCTGATTTTTACATTTCTTATAATTATTATATGACATATACAATATTGGGCAAAATTTGTCGAACACGTGCCGCGAAGTGGCATGTGTGCCAATCATTTTCCCGGTTGAGCCAAATTATCGTATTCGACAAATTGACCAATATTGGTGCTATCCGGCAATTTATGATCATGATTGGTAGGGATTCATAGAGTTTTATCATGCTTTTCAAATTACTGTGATCGCCAATCACACGAAAATCTTAAAATTTTCATTTTTTAAAAATTATTACACAAAAAGTCACAATTCCAAAGATTTCTTGTCAAATTCCAATTCTTTAGCATAACATCTATTAGTGTACTAGATCTTGCCTTGTTTAGCCAAGTGGTTATAAAAACTTACTGTTTTTTTTTAAAATTTTTTTTAGATCGCTAGTATTGAAAATTAAAATTGTTTCAAATTAATTAATAAATAAGGTAGCTGCGAGATGCCATCGGCCTAAAAGCTAGGAAAGTAAACAACAATATTCTAAGGATAGAGTGATATTAAAAATTTAACGAAGTGTATTGTTATATCGCAAAATTCTGCATTTTATTTGATAATATATGTGGCAAAGTGGGTATGTGAATGCATATTAGAAATTTCACACGTAGTACCATCACAGGGCATATGTAATACTTTTTAATACAGTAATTTTATTAACACAGTAAAATGACGCACTTAAGTTTGTGAAACTTGATTTGTCTCCTTTTGCACTATTTACAGCGATTAGCTAATGCACCTAATTTATTTAAGCGAAAAATTGCAAATCTCCGTATCACAACTTTTATCGCGTTGTATATAGTCCCTAGCTCATGCTTATGAGCTGAGCTGAGCAACAGCGTAGAAAAACCGAGTAAATTTAACTGTATATCGTATGAAATACGAAATCCTACTGTAGATTCGCATTGCGTGTTTTTTTTATCTTCGGATTTTTTGCCGTGCTGATTAATTGATAATCATCAATTTAAGCGAGACTTTCGTTTGTTCAAAGAAATTTCAATCCGATGTTTTTTTTTTTGATTTCTTTTGTCGATCTACGCCCAAATTGTGGTCAAAGCCTTATCCAATTAAATATTAATCTACATATTGCATAAATCGTATTTTGATATTTTTATAACCTACTAACTATAAAAGTATCAAAATAGTGCTCCTACTCGACCACAGGTAAACAACCAACCTTTATATGGTAAAAAAAAAATTAACCGCGAATACCATTAACTTCATAGTCGGACATTCGTATGATTGGCTGGTGTAAATCAATTGCCCGGGTAACTTATTTATACACTTTAAAGTACTTTTTGAGAACGTAACGTTTCACTAACAAAAAACTATCGTAAATATTACCAATATGTGCGGAAGAGTGTCAACGTTCTTAGGTAAAAATAATCAAAAAATAATCAAGAAACTGGAGAACTTCACTTAGAAGTGAATATTTTACTATTAATTACTTACTCTTTACTATATTAGCTGTATATAAGTGTTAAAGACCCGAAATTGTTAACCAAAAGACTAAAAAAAACAATCAAGAGGTAAGTTTTACGTAATAAAGAGCTTTTTATTGCCGTTTAATTTATTATGTTAAGAATAAATATTAATACTTTATGTCTTGCGTATGAGATTTTATAGGAATTAGTTCGTTAGATCTGGCAGCGTACAGGCTTTTTTTGTGTGGATTTAAGTATTTAGTATGTCTATTACTCAGGTTTGGTTCGTTGTTATATTAATATTCCTGGGCTACAAAGTCAGACTATTGTAGTTTTTAAATTTATTTGGTTCTTGTAGTACTGTATATTGTGTTTTTCAACCGTAAATTAAAAGATTTCTTTAATGAATTCTGGTTTGCATATTAGTAATAAATATCACATTTACCCACTTTGCATGTATCGGTCTATTCTTTAAATACTTGTGATCAATCTTTTTGCGTATATTTATTAGTTTGTAAGTTTTTTTATACAAAGTTTTTTTTTGTTTCTAATAGTATTAAAACGATAAATTGTCTTAAAAATTATGTAATTTGATTGGCTAATTGTAACGGATAATCACGGGTAGATCTACAAAAATCAACCAATCATATGGGGGGTGTCAGTAGAAACCAGGCAAATTGTTTTTAGTGTGTTTTTTTCCAATTTTAAATTAAAATATCCCAACAACTATTAAACTAAACTTGATAATTTTTTTTTGTTTTAATTCTATAACCATATAGAATTAAAATAAAAAAAAATTTATCAAGTTTGGTTTAATTGTTGTTGAGATATTTTAATTTAAAGTTGGAAAAAAATTTACTTAGAAAAAATTTGCCTGGTTTCTACTGACACCCCCATATGAATGTCTGCCCATGAATCCCTACCACATTTCATGTTACACAAGAAACGTGATCGTACTGGTATAATAAGATCTGCCATAACGACAATTTGTACTGTAATTTTTATATACGCTTCTGTACTTTTGTACTTATATAGTAACGTCATGTGATATTTATGTTATAAATTTAAAGATTTTATTTATATAAACTAATTATACCGTATAAATTAAACTAGCTAGTCACGTATAAATTGTATTGTAAAAAGAATAGAATGCTTTTTATATTCGTTTATATATTTTATATTGTTAAATAATAAGTTGACTCAACAATTGAGTCATGATTTATTGATACGCTTACACGTGAATTGTCAAAATTATAAATTTATTGACTGACTCTTGTGTAGTTCAAAATTTTTAACAACAATAAATAACTTCACTTCTAATTACACAAAACAAATAAAACTTAATGTCGCTTGAACCAAGAGACCCTCTATTTCCGGGAAATCAAATAGATTGCTTTTATTATAAATTCTTTGTGGTTATCTCAACTGGCAAATGAATCTAATAATTTGACTTCTTTAAATTTGGATTCTTTAATACATAAGGATGCTTTTCAGGGTAAGAAATTATAATTGAAATAATAATAAGAGAGAGAGGAATTAATAATTTTGTTCATATTAGATACAATACTTTAGAAAATTTTTTGACCATAAATAAATTTAAAAAAAATAGATGACAAAATTAACGCTCTTGATGTTCTTTTTACTAATGATCAATATAAATTTTTTATTTTGCTTTTTGCTATTTCATGTATACTTAATTTGTTTATTTTTATTATTTTATAATAATTTCAAGAAATATTTGTTAATAAAATTGGATACATCGAGAAAAATCATTCAGATACTATACTATGTAAATTTTACGTGATTTGTCAAATACCAATTACTAACAATTTCCAAGCAAGATCTACAATATACAGGTACGTATACTGTAATTTTGATGACGTTATTTTTTTAAATCGATGCGTAAACAA